CTATAGTGTTTTTAGTAGTCACATCTTATACACACTACACGGTTATTAGTTTAGTTATTAGACACAAGCGACTTATTAGACACAAGCGGTCGACATAAGCGACTAACTTGAGTTCTCAAGGTTTTTTCTCTTAGTAGGTATTATCACCGAGATCTCAAATGTGGCTTTCACATGTTATTTGGATTAGGCTTTTCAAATTGATTGTAAAATATATATTGGTTTATAACCTCATCTTAATATTATATTAAGGTGACACTTTCTTAATCTTATCTCCACTCTACTTGCTCTCAACAATACTAGAGGAGTTTTATCTCATCCTTACTCCCAATAGTTCTAGAGGCGATTGCTCATGTGAGAAAGCTAATCTAAATCCATACGACTTTCAAAGTTGAGCTTTATCATAGCGACATGCATATAATGGTGGAACGATGCTAGATATGGAATAAGACTTGAAAACTCGACAAAGCATCGTCATTAAGGATGAGTGCCGAAAACCACTCTACCGTCGAGTCCAAGTAGAATTAAACTCAAAGTGCACTAATTTTACCAACTTGCAATTGTGGTATGGGCAAGCTAAAATTGAGTTAGAGAGTTTGAAGATGAAAGTAAGAAGGCTTAAAGAGGATAGTGTTAGGTGACAAAAATCTTTAGGTATTGAATGCAATAATAATCGAGAATCAACAAAGCAAATTATGGAGATGCAAACCCAAATCATTGTATTAAAGAAAGAAAACCAACATTTAGAAGAAGAGCTACTCAAGTTATCCTCATAATGGGCCACCACACACAATAATTTAGCTTAAGTTAGTAACGAACGAGACCAACATTTAGTTGTACTAGATAACCAAGTGAAAGAGTCTCCGAGAAAGCCATGGCTCCGTGAGAACTAAGCTCGGCGATTAGCCGAGGTAGAATGAAAGACGACTGCGAGGCCATGAACGACTTCTGAGGAGATGTGATTACCTGCTATTTGAAATAACTAGGTGTAGGAAGATCTTTGAAGTCTAATTGAGTCGTTAGATAGTTCATTTATTTTGCTTGTATTTCATATTTCATTGTATGGATTTTTTCCTTTTATCATGTAAAATAAAGATGTACTCCGAACTAATTTAGGCCTTCATGCTCATCATTTTGGATATTCGGATAATAAAATTTTTGACTTCTTTCTATAAATGGTATTGTTTATTGTGCTTATGAAATGCTATCCAAAAAGTTAGGCAAGTTACCTTTATTTAACAATCCTATTAGTGAATGACATCAACTTTTACTTTTCAATAAAGTGACCCTATCTACTTGAGAATTTGTGAGGTTGGATGGTTACTCTAAAGTTGAGTTGGCATGAATAACCGGGTAGTTAAATCAATCACAAGCAATTTCACTAGATAAAAGAATAAAAAAAGATGAGCTCTTTTTTCACCTCCTATAGATGACTACTTCATATCTAGTCTCAAGTATTATTTATGTCAATATGTTATTTATGTGTTGTATTTTATTTATTTTATCTATGTCTTAGCTCTAGAGTAAACCAACTATACTCTATTGGTATACTCCTATTGTGGTCACATATTGCTTGAGCATTCATTCATCGAAGTGTAATGTGATAACTCATTTACTATATAAGAAATGACATGTTCTATATTAGTCATCCACCTATCTATATTAGATTCTTAGTACACTTAACGAATCGCTCACATACAACTCTTGATCGAGTCCATCGAAATGAGTGTCAAAGTACATAAACCCTTTAATGAGATAATCGTGATGACTTTAAGTCAAAGGACTAATTGTACCCATCTCGTATGAGATTCTCATAGACTAAACTAAATGGGTTCTCATGGCGAGTCATGTTTAGTAATATGTTTTCTAACATTAATCACCTAAGTGCTTGCTTTGGCATTACCATACCAATAGATGTAAGATCTCCTACTGCTATCTTATAGCATAAACGTATCACTTATAAGTTTTACTGCATATTGTCAATTTCAATTCTTGACAATGCTACGACGTGGTACATTTAATGATATCATTTCGGTGTATTAATGTTTATCTCACGTCTTTTGATCAATCATTAATCCAATGCATATCATATGAGTTTTTATCTAGTTTTATCAAAATATCAATGATAAGAATTAATAGAAAGACTTCTTTTATTAATAAAATAAAGAATATTATAATAAGTCAAACCATCCAAACAAGATTGGATCTTGGACAACTACACTAACAATTAAGAAAGTAGTTGCTATTAGGAAGCATCTAAAGAGGATCATTAAGGAAAAAAATTTCAAATTTAGGTTGATTTTGGTTGAGAGAAGGATCCATCCCCTAGCTCCATATCACAAGAAGACTAAGAAATTTTCACCAATCTAGAAATATGAATCCACCATTGTCGGCACTCTTGTGGCTTAGGCAATATATATTTGGTTTTAGTTGTTAGCACTTCCTGGAACTTAATCTTGGATGAGTTGATATTAGCTTTTTCATAATTGTCATTCTCATTTTGTTAGAACTTTATTTATGAATTTTTTAGATGCTTTGACAATCGAACGTTATCCTTTGTGTTTCTCAATTTTAGCTTTTTGGTTGATGTAAATTTATTTTTTCCTATTTGATTTTTTTTCTAATTACATGTATTTGTCTTGGTGTTGGTGTTGGCACTGAGAAAGGAGAAAGGGATTTTTGTAGGTTTTGAATTGGGAATGTAGGGTTTTAGCAAGGAAAGATAAAAGATAGGTTTTTTTTGGTTTACATAGCCATGGTTGGAGAGAAATTTTATTTATTTATTTATTTTCTTTGATTTTTTTTAACTTAATATCAATGTCTATCTTTCTATATATATATATATATATATATATATATATATATATATATATATATATATATATATATATATATATATATATATATATATATATATATATATATATATATATATAACCTTGATTAATGATGTTAACGCACGAGAGGTTTTTGAAAATCATTCATGCTAAACTATCCGTTAAAAATATGTTATGTATAATTATAATTTTTGCTAATTTTTTTGTGGCAAATTAAAATCGATAGGACATGCCATCCGGATTTTTTTTTATTTTTTATGTTAGGTGGGAGTTTTAATTGGCCGAGAAAACAATTGAAGATTTCATATTAAAAAAAAAAAATTCAAAAATAGAAGAAGGTAGTGAATAAAAAAAAATTACATGAGCTACATTAAAATAATAATAAAATAAAATAAAAGAACATCTAATGCGATTAAGCCATAGTTGGCACTCGAATAATCGAGTAAGGAATTTGTACACACGATGAAATGTATCTTTTAAGGTGCTTATTTGGTAATCGGGAATAAAGTGATGAGAATGAGAATGCGGGAATCGGAATGAAAATTAAGGAATCGGAATGGTATTTGTATTCCAATATTGTATTTGGAATACTAATAAGGAATCGAAATGCAATTTAAATTTTTTAATATCCGATTTTATATATAAATATAAATAATGATTAAAAAATAATTTTATTAAACTATAATAGTTATAAAAATAATAAAGTTGATGGCGAGTGATTGTGGTGGTTCTAGTAGTGGTGATGATGGTGGCGGTGGCGGTAATAATTGCGGTAATGATGATGGTTATGATTGTGATAATGATGGTTGTGATGGTGGTGGTGGTTGTGATGATGTTAGTAATAGTAGTGGTGATGGTGGTGGTGGTTGTGATGATGTTAGTAGTGGTGGTGGTGATGGTGGCGGTGACGGTAATAATTGCGGTAATGATGATGGTTGTGATTGTGATAATGATGGTTGTGATGGTGGTGGTGGTTGTGATGATGTTAGTAATAGTAGTGGTGATGGTGGTGGTGGTTGTGATGATGTTAGTAGTGGTGGTGGTTATGATGGTGGTTACGGTGGTAGTGGTGATGAAGGTAGTGGTGGTGGTGGTTGTGGTTGTGATAGTGGTGGTGGTGATGAAGATAGTGGTAGTGGTGGTGGTGGTTGTGGTTGTGATAGTGGTAGTGGTGGTGGTTGTGATGGCGGTGGTGATGAAGATAGTGATGGTGGTGTTTATGGTTGTGATAGTGGTGGTGGTGGTGGAAAAAGTAGTTAATAGATAATAAATAAATAAAATGTATTATTATTTTGAAAAAAAAATTCATTCTCATTCCTTGTTTTTTATTCCCACATTTTATGTGGGAATAAAGTTGTGTGTAAATTTTCATTCCCACTCCCACTTCATTCCTTTTAACCAAACAACTACTGATATGGGAATAAAACTTTCATTCTCATTCCCATCACTCTATTCCCGATTACCAAACAACACCTTAGTAGTTGAGATGTACATTAGATTTTTATTTGACATAGCTGAACTATGTAAAATTTATGTATTGTGGTATTATTTCTTCTCGATTTATTGTGATATTTTCTATACATGTGTGTCATTTTTATACTGATCTTGGAAGTTGGCCGACCAATCAAAAAAATAATGGTCAATTTTTTTGTTCATCTTTTTTCATGTTGGATCATCTTCTCAATATGGTGGTGCATCTCTCGCGACTCTTTTTTTTTTTTTTTAATTATTATTAATACATTTAATGTAATCTTGAGAGATATTTTATAAGATTTTGAGAATGAAATTAGAATTTAGACATCTTTTCCGTTACTATTACAATACAAATGGACGGAAATTGAAGGGAGTGGGGAAATCGGAACAATAATAAAAGGTTTTCGAGTTGATTGTAACAAACAAAAAAAAAAAAACAAATTAGGTGTAATTAAGACAATACATAAACTTGAAGGGACAAATTGAAATTTACCTTATAAAATACCTTACTACTTTTCTCGCTCTCTTGATTTTTTGAAGTGCGGAACATATAAGAAAAATCCAGAAAGAGAAAGAGTCTGCACGAAGAAAAGAAAGTTGTGAGAAAGCAAAGGGAAGAATTCTTGTTTTATTATTATTGTTGTTATTAGTGTATTATAAGAATTAAAGCTGCTAGCAAAAGCATTGATGAAAATGGAAGGTTCTAAGTCAGAACATGCTGCAGACTTGACCTCAAAAGAAACGCTAATTAAGCGATACAAGCTGAAGCCCATTTGGCGTTTATTCATGATTGTTAATCTTGGCCTTGGAGGTAAAATCGTTACCCTTGTTTTTTTGGGTTGTTGGTTTTTGATTTTTTTGCTTACAATATGTTTGCTTTATTGACTGTTTTCGGGTTTTTCTTTTGTTGGGAGTTGATTGATTCCTTGACAATCTTCTTTTGCTTGTCCATTTACTAGAGTCCTCAGTGCAATATTTATTCTGAACATTAATGCTGTAATTTTTTGATCCTCATGAATAGTCATAACAATATTCATGCAAGTAACTATATTTACATGCTGCTTGAAGATACATGGTATCTCCTTCGATGAGTGGCAAGATATATTTCAGCTGCTGCATTTCTGAAAAATCATTAAGATCCAGCTTCCATCTGAGCTTGATGAAGTTTGTGTTCAATGTTGCATATTCTATTTTTAGTAGATTGAAGCATGGTTTGAAGATTGTGCAAAATCTGTTGATGAAATGCATTAGGCTTCCTGGAACCAAGGATGCCAATGTGCATCTAATTTTGAGTTCCAGTCCAGGTTTATTTATTTATTTATATATTTATTTATTGACATCAAGTTGTTAGTTATTCTCAAATAGTGAAAGCTTCTCTTGGCAAATACATTTTTTTTCTTATTTTACGCGTTTTCCTGATTTACTTAGAGCAATATGCTGATAGAAATTCAAGAATATTTTGTGGAATTTGATTCATTCAATTGGATATTGAGACAATGACTGTGATAATAATAATAATAATAATTAAAAAAAAAACTGATCATGCAAGTTGATTACCATTTAACAATCCCCTATGACCTATGAATTCTCCAATTAATCTCAGTACTAGCATATAAAGGCATGAGCAATTTGTTTTGCTGTCTAATAGAAAGAATTGCCAACGACGGCGTTATTCTTCTTGCCACTCTTCCAACTGATTTATAATGGCCCAGCCAGTAAGATTTAAGTAGGAGCTCAAAGTTCTTTATTCCCGAACTGTTAAGTGGAAGATCATATCAAACTCGTTTTTCATTGTCATCATTTCTAGGAGTCAGATTAAAGTCACCTGGAAATAGGAATGCAGTACGTTCAGGATGATGATATTATGGGTGTAGGGGACAGATTTCTGGGGAATTAGCTTTTGCGGTACATGGTGGTAGACATGATTGATTCACTGTTTGTAACTGTGGGCGCTAATCAGGGTCAGGGCCAGTTATTTAAAATTTTGCTAGCAAAACATTAATATGCAATAGGAAAGTGAGTAAAATCCTGATGATGCATGCATGTTTTCCTTTTCAATTAAGAGAGGTATATAATTATTTATTTTTGTGAAAGCATTCTTCGTCCTTCCTTACTCCCTCCCATGCCTTCTTTTACCATGCACTTTGAGCACCTTAAGCTATAGATTGGTTGGTGAACTTTTGCAGTCCGCTTTTGCACTGTTGTGGTGCCGGGAGCAAAATGATCTAATTCAGGATGCTCGTTTACAGTGTTCTGAGTAGCTATGAGTTAAATATGCTTGTTCAACTATGCAATTGAAATTGCTTCATCACATGTTGTGGATTTTTATATGTAAATTTTCAGTTTCTAAATTTGTTGCTTATTTTGTATTGATGCTTCGGAGCAAAGCAATGATTCAACTCAATAATTAGTTCTCTCTTGACTCAGGTACTTGCAAATAAAATGCTTAGTGACACAAGTTTGTAACTGAATTTTCTGGATTTCTTTCACCCACTTGCAGCTTATATGTTTGTCAAGCCAAAAAAGAAAACCTCAGGCAAAGAAGCAAACATAGGTGTGGAGAACGACAAAGCTCCTGTAGAAACTTTATTCGAACCTGCAACCACTTCAATTCCTGAGAGACCTCTCTATCCAGTTGTTCGGGAAAAAAAGGAGCCCATACCTGAAGATAAGCAGCGTGAGCTTTTTAAGTGGATTTTGGAAGAGAAGAGAAAAATCAAACCCAAGGATCTTGAAGAGAAGAAACGAATAGATGAAGAGAAAGCCATTCTTAAACAGTTTATACGTGCAAAATCCATTCCAACTTTTTAATTGATACTTCCAATACTTTGGTGTTTGTTGAAAAAAAGATATAGGATGAGCTTTGGCTTTTTTGGGGTGCTCATGAGTTATGAATCAGAGATTCTGAAAATGGATTTGCATGATTATTCAATGTCTGGTCTAGTCAGATAGATATTGCAAATATAATCTCCAAAATTAGGACATTATTTGTATAACTTGTGGCTATTAATTTCCAGCCTCGCCAGTTAGTTAAACGAGTGATTGAATCGACCGTTGGTTTGCAGGGCATTACAAGGACTTCCTTCCTGTGCTCAGAACAGTTCTGAAGAGTCACGAGACCATTGTCCCAACTCCAATATTTGCCCTTTTTGTTTTCATGTGAATGTCTGTATTTAGTTGAAAATTCAACGGTAGGGAGGTCACGAGGGCAAAGGGCACATTCATTTTCAGGTGGTGGCAAAAGACAAAATTAGAGATCTGGCTTTGCACTAAGAAGTGGTTAAAAATACTTGCAAAGCTTGTGGAGACCCCACCGTTTTAAATTCTTTGTTGTCCAACCACATGCACTCTTTTCTATCCAATAGCAACTCATGCAGATGCACCTAAACACCACTCTCGCCTGAAGCGATCATTTTAGATTTTCAAATATGAGATCATAGCTCTTCTACTTTCGAGTCACTGGTTGATCTCTTGACTCTTATATGCTTACGCCGACTTGACCTCCAATGCCAGGAACCATTGAAGTTTCAGGTACTAGAGAACTGTATTTTCTTAACTGAAATTCAAACTCGGCAGTTCCTTTGTTACTACTGAATATCTTCCAATTTATTTCTTTCCAGTTCTTGATTTCATGGGTCTTCAGTCACCACCACCACCACCACCTTCACAAATGTCCATAAAGGGTACAAAATGACCAATTGTTTGTTTGTTTGTTTTTTTTTCTTTCCTTTTTTTTTCCTTGGAAGATCAAAATCTCACGGGGCTTGTATTTTAATCAAACTGTAGTTTCCATGGGAAAAAGGGAGTATGAAACCTGGGACAAGGGAGATTTCACTTTGTAATATCGTTTTCCCTCTTGTTTGGTTTCTATTACTTTTCAGTTTTCATTTTTTATGTATAGAACTTCCAAGTTTTACTTATGTTTCCAAGTTGTGTGTTGGAGCAGTCCATTAACAACCCTCCGCGAAAAATTGATTGTCACACTGCAGGATGCTAAGGGAAATGAAATATCACATACAGGTTTAGCACATTCATTTCGCACTAAATTCCATTCATCTGTGCAGTTGCAATGGGTTGATTATGATTGATTGCAGGTGTGGAGACAAGGTTAGTAATAGAGAAAGGTGTTTGGGATGACACATTTCTCTTGGAAGGAGGTGGAATTGTGCGCATGAAGCTGCAGTTTGTCCTCAGTGAAGAAGACCGCCACCGTATCCGTCTCACGGTGCAGTTACTCCATTCTCTCGCTTTAATGTCTTAACTTAGCTGTTCCCTTCTAGTCCAATTGGATTGTTATTGTTATTAACTATAAAGTGATCAATAACTAATATATTGATAGCATGACAAACGACCAATTCAAGTGTTTCTGTACCCACAAAATAGAGCAATCCTTGGGAACGTTCCTCACTAGCTTTATGACACAATTAGTGTTGTATTTCCAAATAGATCATTGTGTTGAATCAGGGTTTAGTTGACATGGTAGTAAAGCTTGTCAATGAAATTCTTGCGCACAAAATGTACTTTATTGGAGTAGTTAGATAGCCTTATTTCTAGAAAAACATAAATTATCATCTCTTCTTTATCTTCTTGTCATATGTTTAAATCTTGTTTGCAGAGAGAATTGGCATTGAAAAAGAAACATGATGAGCTTCTCAACAGTGAACCTAGATCTCCAGAATATGCTACTGCTGTTGATAATAGTGTTGCATCATCTTCACAACCGAAACATGAGGTCTCAGGTTTGATCTTGCTTAGAATGAAAGAAATTAGAAAATGTTTATGCAGAAACACGAAAACAAAATGAACAAATTGAGGTCTCAAACTCTCCTATCTAAAAGACTTTTTCTTGGTTTTCTGACTGCTCCACCTTCTCAAGATTCAAGAAAAAGAGTTTTTCAAAGTGATTTGGTGGCTACTCAATTTAGTCTGATGTCAGCTCCATCCACTTTTTCCAAGAGTGGAAAATCTTGTCCAGATGATAGAGAAGGAACAAATTCTGTTCTGAAGCACACAAGTCCAGTTAAGGATCACTGAACATTGCTTGTGAATGTTGTTTCATCCATAGAGAAAAAAAAACATTTGAGATGTACCTCATGATTTTCTCACAACATTTGACCTGTCTTAGAATGATCCAGATAAACATCAAGACTCTTCATCCATCACTCCTGTTTCACAAGGATTTGTGGCCAATCTAAAGGAAGAAAGCCACAGGAGTTTAGGAGAGAAGAGAGGAACTGAGTCTCCTCCCATTGATGTTCCCCTGAAAACCATTCGCTCAAAAGAAGCCTTATACTTTGGAAGCTCAGAACCAAAAGTGGCTGCAAATGATAAAGTTCCTGTGAAGCTGAAGGGAATTGGGGATAGTGTCCCAGAGAAGCAGAATCTGCTGGATAAAACTCCTAGCAATGTAAGGAACATGATTACTGCATTTGAAAGTAGTCTAAATCAGGTGTGTTTGGTTTATTGCTTTAAAATTCTAAATGTTAGAACCAGCAAATTCTTGCTTTTCAAAATTTTTGGTCAACAAAACTTGTGGTGATGCAGGATATGAAACACAAAATAAGACCACCACCAATAATATCCGAAACATCAAGCAGGTTGGAAACGGAATTTCCTCGAAAAAGTTTGTTATTAGATGAAGTTATGAGAGAGAAGAATAGACCAGAACAATCACTTCCAGGAAGGGCTAGAAGTCCTTATCTTACAGGAGATATGCAAGGTGCCTCAAAAAATATCAGAGAAGGAGAAGAGCATGTTGGTTTTGTTAGGCCACCTAGTGTGGCTACTTCATCTGAGGGTACAGGGCAGCTGGAGGAAGAATTAAGAGATGCACATTTTCGAACTAAAGAAACAAATGCATATTTGAAGAATAAACTGCAAGTTATGGGTAATGCTGAGATAGAGAAAGAGCATACATCTGAGGCTTTGTGGAGATCATTGACAGGTGAAAAAGCTTCTATTTCAGGAAGAATGTTTAATGAACAGTTAGGTAAACAATCATATAGTAAATTGTTAGCCAGGAAAAAACATTCAGGTGGAAATTTACTGATAAGTAAAAGTGGAAAAGAAACTGACTCGAAAGATCCTAAAAGAATAAGCATTCAAGGAGCTTCAGGAGATGCCCATTTTTCTTCAGAATGCTACGGTGCTTGGATATTCCCTGATGAAATGCGACAGTTGTGTATCACAACTGCTGGAACCCAAATATTGAATCTAATGGGAGGTTTCTGGACTGACACGAAAGGCCAACCAGGAAAGATGAGTTCTTCTGTAGCAGAAAACTTGGAAGAGGTATTTGTTTCTTGAATGGATAGTGTTTACAACAGCTAAATATTATTCAGTAACTATCTCATTTTCTTTGCGAACATCTGTTAAAGTATGTTGCTCAAAACTCAGAGCCATAGTATGAGGCTGTGAGCAATAGGAGTGTTACTAACAAACCATTGGATGTTGCATTATTATATTGCTATCTGGTTTGATTTGAACGCCCTACAGAGGTGATATTCACCATTCACAATAATATTATTATATTTTATACAATAACTATTGCAGCTCCAGTTGCATATAAATGCTATGCATCACTGAAGGTGAGTGCTAACTTTATTATTTATTCCTGCCATATAGAATGAGCAATGCGTTTATTTGTTAAATATGAGGTGTTATCAAACTCCAAACAACGCAACCTAATTCAGCTGCATTGGAATAATGTACATATTTATTGTTGTCTGGCTAAATATGACTGGATGACTTTCCTGGCAGTTTTCATAAATCCAGTCCAATAATCTAATGTTTTGTTTGCCTGTTTGTATTCAGCATAGCGTTCATGGCGACACTGGTATCAAGTCCAAAGAATGCAAGAAGACTAGTCAGAGACATGAAACGTCAGAACTTCAGGGTTCAATTGATGCTGAAACTTCTAGAGGACCAGTTGAGCAGGTTGCTTCCTTTTCCCTTTTTCCATACCAAACTTTTATTTTGATAATAACCCGGAGTTCCCTTTAAAAGGGTTTGTTAATGGTCAAAATTTTTCTGGACTGACCGACCAATCATTTTATTTATCTTCTTAAGCCGTCAAGAGTATATAATGAGAAAAATAAACTGGAAGGAAACAGATCTTCTAACTATGTTCCCCAAGACGACTCTTTTTAAGACAATAATCATGGCATTCACACACAGTTCTAAATGTAACTTGCCTTCTTGAATATCTCCTTAGAAACAGTGTCAAGCAGCTTCCTTTGTCAATAAGCTTGTAAGATATACTGTTGAGGGTGTGCTGCCTCAGCATCAAAAGATCCAAAGATATAACATGAAATTGTGCTATGACGAAGGAGTGCTATTGACTCTGCATTAAAAGTATCTGTCAACTGAGACAGGTTAATTTGGATTGTGGCACCATATAATCATTAGGATAATGTACTCTCCATGCTAATTTCTCTATGCAATCCTCTCCACACACACCAACACTCACTAGAATGAGAAGAACGAACATGAGAACTCAGTTGTTCCTCCCCTTGTTTTTATTCAGGTGATGAGAGTTGTAATCATGATTGGGTTTGCTACACTTGTTCTCCTTACTAGACAGAAAACCAGGTAGCAGGTACTTATATCATCTCCCCCTTGATAAAGCAGAATGTCACTTACCGTTCACTATTATTAAAGTCTTCACATGAAACTACATTTTCTCTCAACTTGTTAGGTTGCACCCTTGTGGTTTTTCAGATAGATATGCCAGCTGATTGATGCTGTCCATGCGGTTAACTTATGAATGCACAGGAACTATTTGTATCCACAAATTGCTTTCAAATTATCTGGATTTTTTTTGTAAGTATATGTGAATGAGTAGGCTCTAGATAATTTTACTCATTCGTTGTTTTTTAAGGCTCGTTTAGTGCCTAAGACCTTGTTGCCCAAGAAATTGAGCTCGTTGGATTTAACATTTCAGCCGATTTAAAACTTCATTTTGTCAAAATGAAGTTCTCATTTCTTGGTTTCATCTTTGTCTAGGGTTTCTTGTTTTATGCAACCCTTTTGACTTTGTTCTTTTCATCTTGGCGGCTTTGTATTGCTCCATTGGTGCTGCTTTATGGTTTATGATGAAAAACAAACTTGGTTTTATAGCTGTAAGCAATCAGAGGATCAAAATTGGGCCATTTTGCATTGATATAACCGCAATGGATTGGTCAACTGGTTAAAGTGATTCCCTCCTTTTAATTTTTTGAATTTAAATTTGGGATGAGCATATATGATAATTTATTAAATTTTTCTGAATAATTTAAGTTGATTTAAAATCTTATTGGAAGATTGACATAAAAATTAGTTTGAAAATACTTTTAACATTTGAAAAAAAAAACATTGATATTAATAAATTCCACCGGATGAACAAATTGTCAGTACGTAGCTTATGAGCTTTGTTTGGTGGCCTCCTATTTTTTCTAGCTTTTAACAAAGCAATTAAAAGCACCAAGTGTTTGATTATAATTTTAATACTTCATTGTTTAACTTTTAAAAATGTAAAACGTCATTCAAAGATATATTAGTTTCTACTTAAAAAAGACATGCAAAAAGATGTGTTTTGAAATGAAAGCCGAAAGATTGTTTATTTCGTTTGAAAAAACAAAAATAACCTAAAAAAATTATTAACAACTAAATTTATAGTGCTTATATGGATCTTAGTTAAATTATATAGTATTTTTATTTGAATAAAAAAACCTATTTAATGTACTAATTCTGAATTCTTATTCTTATTTTTTATTTGTATTAATTATTTAATAGATTTCATACGCTGATGAAAGTAGTCATTAAATTATATAATATTCCTATTTACTTAAAAAAAAATCCGTAATATTTTAAATCTTGTTTCTTTTTTGCTTCTATTATTTTATATTTTCATTTTATAATCAAGTAATTTATTTATTTTCTTAAAAAAAATTAGTTTAATTAGGTCTTAAATAATAATTTTAATTCAAATAACACAAAAAGGAGAGAAAATTATAAAGAAAATTTAAGATGAAAATGTTTTTATTACTTTTGATGAGTTTGAATGTAATTGTCTTTTCAAAATTTCTATCTTATTTTAGTTCCAGACAACACACTTGAGTTCATAACTATGCTAGATAAATGTCAACCTTGACATTTTGTCAAGTTGTTGAACCTAATCTAATAAGATTAAGTTTGAAGAGTCAACTTAATTTAGGACTCTTATCTGATAGAGTTTAATACATTAATTTGTGAAGAGGATTCTCTATACATTTTTCTGAAGTAAAAAAAAGAAAAAAAGTGGGTGACTCTAGCAGCCACTCGATAAATGATATTGGTTTGTTTTAATGGTTCGTACAGACGCACCAAACTTGTTATTCAAGTGGAATGAACTTGATTGTTTTCTACGTGCTCAAATTTGGTATGGTTATTTAACCATGTTATTTTTCCTACAATAACCAAATAAGATAATATGTTCAACCTTATCATTACCTAATTTTGATTCTTGAATTTTACATAAACATATAAATAAAAAAATAAAAGAATATAAAAATCCAATGAAACCGGCATTTTGCACAATTTCTCTATTTTTTTTTATTTTACCTATTTATGAGTTTTTCATTATTTTAAAGCATTTTATCTTTCTTTTTTTTCCTTTAGTTTAAGCAAGAAATGAGCATAAAAAAAAAAAAAAGCAAAAACAAACAAAAAACAAAAGAGATAGAGAAAAGTAAAAAAACAAAAAAAAAGTGAAGAGTGAAATCGGGAGAGAATGGCAAGAAAAAGGATTGAGTTGATAAGAAAATGAAAGAAAGAGAGCTAAGGACTAAAGTGAGAAAAGCGGATGAATTGAGGAATCAAACTTGGTAAAAAATCACTAAGTGAAATGGCATCGTTTCAAATAAGAGGCGAGGATGAAACGTTGCCGTTCAACCTTGTCTACTTTTCGCTTCTCTCATTTGTTATTATTATTATTATTATTATTAAAAAGGAGGGAAAAGCCTTAGAAGTTATAAAGGGATTATACTTGGAAAAACAGTCTCATTACTAAGACTCTAAAAGACACATATTACTGACTATTTAGAATCCTGTTCATCTTATATATATATATATAATACTCTAAAGGGCTTCACTAAGGTTTGTTGGTTTTTTTTCCCTTTTTTAACCCTTATACTATGCTATTCACTTTTAGGGGTTTTTTTTTTTTTTTTTTTTTTTTTTTTTTTTTAAATTTTCATTCTTAGTTTTTTTCTTCAGTTTTTTTTTTTGTAATTTTTTAAATTATTTTATTTTGATCTCTAAAATTTTAAAATAAAAATCTTGATCTCTACCCGATACACTACATGTCTTTTTTTTTTCCTTCGGTTTTTTTCTATGCTTTTTTTCATCAATTAATGTTCCCTTTTTATTTAATCGGGTGTTAAAATTGTTAAAAATTGATCATTATTTTTTCGTACAAACTGAATACTATATAATATACATAAATCAAATTTATATACTTTAAAGATCACCCTATCACAATGTACTATTCACTCTTACGTTTTTTATTTTTATTTTTCACTCTTATTTTTTTCCTTTTTTTCTTAGGTTTTTTTTTTCAAATTATTTTGTTTTGATTTTTTTTTTTAATTTTCACTCTTAGTTTTTTTTTTCCTGATTTTCAAATTATTTCGTTTTGATCCCTAAAATTTTAACATAAAAATTTTAATCCCTATCCGATGCACTCGCATGCCTTTTCCTCTCTTTTTTTTTCTTTGGTTTTTTCTTTACTTTTTTCTATCAATTTATGTTTTTTTCATTTAATTAAGTGTTAAAATTTTTTAAAATCAATCGTTACTTTTTTTCATATAAACTGACGATTATATAATATATATAGATTATATGTATATACTTTAAAAAAAAATCGTTTGATCAACATTAAATAAGAGTAAAACATTATTTTTTTCATTGGTTAATTTTTATGCAAATCTATACATTAATTATAATTTTATTTTTTCGATATATTCTTATAAAAAAATATATTTTTAAAGTATTTCTTTTTATGACAACAATGTTCTCCCTCTCATAAAGTACTATTCACTCTCTATTTTTTGTTTTTTTACCCCGAAAATATACTATTCACTCATTTGTTCCCCTCATAATGTACTATTCATTATTGGGTTTTTTTCTTTTTGTAATTTTCACTCTTACTTTTTTTCTTACTTTTTTTTTTTGTAATTTTGAAATTATTTCATTTTGATCCTTGAAATTTTAAAATAAAAATTTTAATCCCTTGCAAATGCACTACATGCCTTTTCATTTTTTTTAGATTACAAAGTGTTATAAAATTTTGAACCGATTTTGATCTATCTACCCATAACGTTGCCTAGATAATTTCAAAAATTAATCTTTTTATCAGCATTAAATAAGAATTTTTTTTTCCATTTGTAGTTTTTATAAAATTATATCTATTAATTATAAATTTATTTTTTGAAATATAATATTATGAAAATATATATTTTTAATGTTTTTTACTCTTGATTAATATTTTAGTTAAAATCAATCTATAAAGAAGAATGATTTATGTTTTTTTAAGCAAAAAAATTTATAAAAAAATTATAAAAAATTAATTAAATAAAAAATTATAATTTAAAATTTTAAAAATTATTTTGTTATATTAGACCGGTAATGTAGATGTAATAACCGATACCCACTAAAATAAAACTTTAATATTAAATATATGTGAGAAATATTTTGAGAGTATGAAATAATCATTAGGGATTTAAAATAATATTTAGAATATTCAAAATAGTTTTTCCATGCTTGATGAATATTTTATTGATTTTACGATACATGAATAGTAGTTTTTACATGAAATAATTAATTAAAGCATTTTTTTGCGCAAGAAAAATGTTTTATTTACTTACAATATTTTTTAGAGGGGTGTTGAATTATTTTACGTGATTGTATGAATTTTCTTGTATATTATGAATATTTTATTTGAATTGTTATGTATAGAAATAGTGTTTTTAGAGGTAAAGAATTTATTTAGGCACCTTAAGAGTATGAGGCTTTTTTTAAGAGCATAAAGTAATCATATAGGAGGTTTGAGAGTGCTTAGAAAATTTAAATTAGTTTTATTAAGTATAGGGAATATTTTTAATAGGAAATAGTGTGATTTTCACACTAAATAATTAATTTAAAGGCTCAAATGAGGTCCAAAAATTATTAAAATTTAAAATAAAATCCCTTAATAAATATTTGAATTTATGATAGAAATAAATTGTATTTTTGAAGAGTATAGGATAGAATTTTAAAACTAGGGACTAAATTGTATAAAATAAGGGACTCGATTGCATAAAATTAAAAATATAATAATCAAATTAAATTATTTATGAATGTCAAGGGTCAAACTTTAGTCCTAAAAACTGAAAATAAAGGGTCAGAAATGATTATTTAAATAAAAGGAGGATTTAGGAAAGAATGAGCCCTAGAAAACTCTAGAAACTTGGAAGACCAAAATTTGTCATTTTCCTCCCAAATTTTGTAGACCTAAAGCATTTATTAAGTCTGAATTCCAAGAAATTTAATGGCTGAAACTAAGCTAAATGGAAGGTTTAGAAAAAAAGAAGAACAAAT